CGCTGCGGGTGTCAGCAGGACGGGTTGTGCCCCGCTGCTGATGGCCCCCCAGCAACCTGAGACGGAGAGCTGTGCTTTGGTCCAGGAGTGCCCAGAGCAGGCGGGTCCTTGAGGAAAAATAAGAGGGAAGAGATGTTTCTGGAGAATGGGAAGGTTGCTTACAAAAGCTAATCCTTCTCGTGCAGACATGAGTATCAGCTCCCCAGATCTGGAGTACATATTTTTGTATTGTAAAATGTTAGCACATCCAAATGCAATTCTTCACTCTTGAATTGTGTGACATGCTAATGACTATGTGAATGATGATAGATCATGCTTGGCACCTGTTTTATAAGAGAATCCTTAATGCATATGATAGCTGAGATAAGCTTAGGGAGTAGCTGTCTTGCTTTAGTCTTTTTCAGGACATCTTGTATCTATTCAGATGGCCACAATGAAACAAGAGGCTGGTTCTTCCTGCAGAGAAAATGATACTGTATCAGCCATGATCAGGGTTGGGAGACTTTGTTGTTACTCCTCCCATGTACCGCTGATGTATGATGCTAAAGCTGCTTCACTTGAATACATGGAAATCAGACTTGAGCGAGGAAGGCCAAAGTGACATGAAAGTGACAGTGCTCACCTAAAGATTTGTTCACAGTTCTGAAACGGGAGAATAAGTTGGAAGTGTGATGGTCGTTAGGATCTTGATTCTTTTCAATGTGAAAATCATGCAAACATTAATGAGAGCTAGCAAGTCAAAGAATCCAGTGTTCTCTCTTTTAGGAGAAACAAATGAAGACAAGGAATCGCACTAAAAGACTGTATTTCTCAATGCCTTCTTCTGTTTAGAAAAATTATTGTCTGCCTTTTTGGTTTTGTTTTTTTTTCTAAAGATCATTGCTGAGAAAAATGACAGCTGGCTCTGTCTCGGCTCCTCAGGTCATACCACTTCGAATTCCTCTTCCAGGGAAGACTAAACATGAAATAGACACAAATACTCTCATAGAAATGAAATCAGGTACGAAGAAGACCTTTGACTGTCTGTAAAACCTTTTCTTATGTGTTCATTTGAAACTTTTAGCCTCTAGACTTTTCTTTGCATTTAATTATTATTTTTATGAATGCCCACTTCCTTAAGGAACTTATAAAATTAACCAACATGTTTTGATACACCAAATATACTTGCATGTAATTTGATGCATTCAACAATATTATTGGCATGTGAGTGATTCCAGATATGTTAGCAGGCTTAATTCCTTCCAAGATCAAGCTCTTAAGCTCTTGCATTTTGCTTTGGCTGCAAAACCAGTGCTTGAAAGTATCATGCGCCAGGCTCACCCCAAAGGTTTTCCTTACAATTTTTGGAATGCCACCTTTCACCGTGGGAGAAAATACATTTTCTGTCATTAGAACAGCCAAGCTGTTGCAATGTTTTCGAACCAACACCGTTGCAGAGCTCCTTTATGAAGAGAAATATTGCTTCTAGGGAAATTGCATTTGTTGAGTAACAGGGGAGAAACAGTTTTGGTCCTAAACATTCAGTCATTTATGGCACTGCTTTGTTTCTGTGAGAAAAATCAAGCACAGGAGTGAGTACTTTGAGCTTGTTTTTCACAGGTTGAATACAGTTTGGCTCATTACTTTCTCTATGTGTCTTTCAGATACACCTGAGGTCTCCATTTATTACACTTTAGATGGGAGTAAGCCAGAACTCGTTAGGAAACCTGGCTATGGAGAGCACAACACTTTTAAGTACAAGGGTCCTATCGTATTACCGGTTGGGAAAATAATGGTCAAGGCACTGGCAGTTACAAAGTAAGTATCCTGTTTTGTTGTAGTCATATTTTGACAAGGGACAGATATTCCCATCATGGCTTGGAGCCACACTGTTTGAAGCACTCCATACCTCACAAATGATCTTCATGGCTTGCATGGACTTCACTTTCTTGTAATACTTTTTATCCATTAAGTGTTTGTGCGGTTGGATTATCTCTTGGATGTTTTTTCGGTTAAGTTACGGTAACCGTAGTTACCCCAGAGAGCAGATATCAGAGTATCAAGAGTTTTACATGTAAAAGATGTTGAGGGATTAAAATATTTGTACATTTTACTGGTAACTACTTAGCATGCACTTTTTCAACTGAAAATAAATTTTAACTAGAACAAAGCAAGGCAGTAGTTACTGAGAGTGTTGCCCAGGATTATACTTATTAACTGAAATAATGCCTCACAAGCTTGGAAGAGCCATGAGCCCTGTTCATCAGGGATTTACTTTTTGCTGCACATGGGTTTGGGGCATGTGCATGTCTTTATGAATGTCGATTTTCAGGGACTGCAGGGAGAGCACAGTTGTAACAAAGGTGTTTCTGGTAGAGTACAAGCAACCAAACATCCTCTTCTCTGTTGAAGACAATGGCAAGAATTTCCTAAAAGATATCGCCACACAGGCAAGTTTTTAGCAAATTTAACTCCTCGGCTGAATAGAAGATGTGGTGTTACTTAGAGATTATACCTGGATTGCCTATACTTTTTCTATCTTTTACTACCTCTGTTTTCCCATCTTTGCTGCCTCAGTTGCTTTTGTAATGCTAACATTTCAAGGGGACAATTTTTTTTCTTCTTCACTGGTCTTTCATTACCAGTTCAGGTCCGATATTTTAAAAATGTATGTATCGTTTAAGATTTTCAAATTCTTGCACTGAAAATAAGCACGTACTTTCAGATTCATAACAAATAACTGTAGCATGAGAGGATTAGAGCAAAATCCAATTATTTCATTTGGAATTCAAATTAATTACTTTTTAGGAGAGGGAAGGTGGGATGTTTACTACAAAACCAAAGCAGAATGGAGTGAATGTGGAAATCAAGCCTGCTTGGAGTGAAGCACCCCAAGATTTTCAGGGTATAGTATGACCTCATAAGACTGAAATAGACTTCTGTCCTAGCTGAAAAGAGGCAGTGTAAGGTTTTTCCTCATGTATCACTGGTAAGATATGGGCAATTGCAAAACCATCTCAGGAGACGGAACATCTTATGGGAATTCCAATTTAGATTGCTCAACACTGCAAATGGAGAACAAAAATTAACTTGCATCCATATCACGTTACCTCTGAAAACATATTAAAATGTAATTAGTTTCTGAGCAACATAACAAGGCCCGGTCTATATTTCCCTTTGTGCCAGAAAACGCTGTTAAACTGATGGGATTGCAAATCCTTTATGGAGTTCCTTACAGATGTTTGCTTGCAGTAATATTCCAAAATAAGTACACAAAGCAGAAATGAAAGCTTGACCCAGATTTTTCTCTATAGATGAATCCTGTTACTCCATGGTAACAGCAATGGGACTGTTTAAGAGCAGGGAATTGTATTAATGTTTACTCACTAATTTACTCTTAGAGCTGGGGGTTTTTTGAGCATGCAGGAAGGAAGAGAACCGTAAATAGAGAAAAATAGGAAAGTAAGATCTTTCAGAGAGGAATGAAGTTTCTTCTAGTTTAATTTCCTGTAATTCCATGCAGTTTATTTGAACCCAAAACCTCAGTTTCAAATATGTTTTAAAATATGCTCATCTATTGGAATTTAAAATTAGAGTATGCAATATTGATGTTTAGATCTATGTTAACTGCATGAATTGAATGACAGTGGAATAACAGGATTGTCATTTTAGACTTGGAAACAGGAAGAAAGACTGCTCACAGGTCCCTGCAAGGACCACAGCTCCTTGCCAGACATTTGGAAACAACAGAGTGCAGAGAAGAATCCATCTCAGCACCACCGCTAGGGTTGTTACAGGTAAGCAAAAGGGTGTTAAGGAAAACTGTAAAAGGCTGTCCTCAGAACTGAGCTCTAAAAAAATAAAGATGTGTACATTTGGGATCGCTCTCATATCATGTCTCAGAAATTAATGCATTTGGATATATTATATACAGTACTAATTTAAATTTACTGGTAATGACACACTGGAATAGGAGTGCCCAAAGCAGTACACAGTTATCAGTAAGGACAAAACCACGCAAAGCAAACTGACAATGCCTGCATTCCTGTTAATTCGCTTCTAATACATTGCTGAACCTGCAGTTAACAAATAATTATTGCTATAGGTTGGCAAGATGATATTTAAAACTCAGTAACACTGTCTTGGAAGTAAATAGCAAGACATTGATTTTATTTTTTTTTTAATTGGAGGAAGCTGTGGGTCCTTAATGCAGCTAATGAGAGAATCAAGTGTAGCAGATATAGCTTAAAGCAATACATTTATTGCAGTTTGTCTCAAAGAACCTCTTTAGCTGATTTTTGCTACTCTTATGTGCATTTTGCAAATATTTGCTTACTAAGGCTAAAGAATTACCTTCACTTCAGTTTGCCAGTTCTTCTGCAGCAACTAGCCGGAAAAGCTTAGCAAGCACACAGGTGGCAAGGATCCAGAGGGAAACAGATTTCCTCAAGTAAGTGACTTCTCCTTTTAACATCTTTGTCCTTGGAAAGTAACTGCCTTTTGCAGCCGAGTTAACAATACTGTGGGGCTCTATAAAAACAAGGAAAACGAAGACAGACACTGGCTCATAACTGGAGAATATACACTAGGTAGGGCTTTGAAAATTCTTTCTCTTTCTTACATGTAGTTTTATTTACATCTCACCATGCACAGTCATGAACTATCTTATCATCCTTTAAAAAAAACTCTTCACACCTGTAGGATGAGAGGAAAAGCTCCCTTTTCAAGTTAGAGTACAGCCGTCCCTGCTGTATGTGAAAACTGCTCACTGGAGCAGTCTCACAGAAGATGAAGACTTCTCAATATTGGAAGGGTTATGTGATCTACATCAGTGGCTCCCCATGTTGCACCAGGGAGGCCTGATACAGATTGCATGTCAGGAGACGTTTCACCTCCCATGAAGAGGAAGAAAGTATGAAACTCCATAGTAGCTAGAGAGCTTTCTACCTTGCAAAACTGTTTAGAGTTCAGAACCTCATATCATGGATGCTGGGGCGTGGTCTGGTGGAGCACCAGAGCCTGGAAACCACAGCTGAGACATTAGTGGCCTAAGTGCTGTCACAAGAGGTTCCAGATGAATCATTTTTATGCGGCAGTACAATACCAAAACAAGCTCAGCCAGTTTGCTCTTATTTTCAGATGTCCACATTGTTCTGCACCTCGCCTGTCTGACCCCTTGGCTCACTTCTGTCAAGAATGTGGATCTCCTATCCCACCTGTGCCAGTACGTCGCGTCCCACCCCCTGAAGGAGCACAGGTCAGCAAAATATCATAACAATCAACAAATCCTCTTTGGAGAAACCAACTTCAATCAGCAGATTACCGAGTTTTTACAGTGATGCCTGTAGCTATCTTCTCTAAGCTCTTTGCAAGAGATAATAACCTGATCTAAGAAGTCAACCATTTTTTTTTTTTTTTCCCCTGTATCATCAGTAAGTTGTCTTGTCTGGGGCAACGCTGTAGTTTCAAGTGATGACTGAGAATATCAGCACCTCTTTAGGTTAGGTTCATAATTAGGAGGATTTGAACTACCTGCATACATTTTAAATTTAATGGAAATTAACTCAGTACCTTTCTGGCATATTTGAGCAGTCAGTAAAGCATTCTTTTCCCAGTTGTCTTTATATTTATAGCCTTTGATCTTTAAGGATCAATATCAGCATCTGTTGCTGTCAGTTGCTATGTTTCAGCGACGTTGCTGCTGATGTAGACTCTAACCAGGAAAATATTGAAAATCTCATTATAACCTTAACAATCTCATGATGATCCTTAATATGCTGTGATGTGTCTTTTTCTGCAGATGGCACCATGTCTTGAATGCAGACACCTTGTGCCTATGAACACACCCAGTTGCATTGTATGTGAGTCGCCAATAGCTCCACAGCTGCAGCCCCAAACTGACATCTGCGTAAAGGTAATTGTGAATAAATATGACAAAACAGCAATATACCTCCTGACATGCATTTTTCTAACAGATTATTTCATTACAAATATTTTGATCCAAATATTTTGATGCGACTTGGTTTGTGCAGAGGAGATATTCTATGATTTATGTCCCTAGTAGTAATAAGCATTTTAAGTTTATTAAATATAATCTGCTTACCTCATTTGACTGAAGTGCTTAGCACAGATGGGCTAGCAGGACTGGGGCAGGTGGTATACACCCAAAAGAGCGCAGTCTCTATGGAGAGAAGGGATCCACCTCACAGGGCAAAGGTATCTTGGCTCGCATGACTGTAGAGGTGACATCGTAGTGGGTGTCTGCTGTGGGCCACCTGACCCGTGACAGGAAGAACCCGTGCACGAGTCGTTCTACAGACAGCTAGAAGAAAGCTCACAGTTGCAGGCCCTTGTCCTCCTTTATTATTAAATAAAGTCCTGGGACTTCAAGGGCCCCAGTATCTGCTGGAGGGCATAAGCAATCCAGAGCTTCCTGGCTCCTCAATCACTTGTGCCAGGAAATTGTCATTGATACTTGCCAATACGGAAGGGTGCTCTGCTGGGTGTCATACTTACAGGGAAGGATGGGCTTTTTGGGGATGCGAAGGTCAAAGACAGCCTTGGCTGCAGTGAGCACATGATGGTGGAGTTCAGGACTCTGAGAGGAAGGAGCAGGGACAAAAAGCAAGATCACAGCCCTGGCCTTCAGGAGAAGACTTTGGCCTCTTCAGGGATCTGCTTGGAAAAGTCCCATGGAATGGAATAAGGCCCTAGAAGAAAGAGGTGTCCAAGAAAGCTAGTGATGATTCAAGGTGATTCAAGGATCACCTCATCCACGCTCAAGAGCGGTCCATCCTGATGAGCAGGAAGACAGGCAGAAGTGCCAGGAGTCTTGCATGGATAAACAAGGAGTTTCTGTCGAAACTCAGATATAAAAAGGAAGTATACAGAAGGTGAAAGCGGGGACAGGCAACCTGGGAGGAATACGCAGAGGTGTTGTTAGGGAAGCCAAAGCCCCTATGCAGTTGACTCTTGTTCAGTTTTCAAATACTACCATGTGAAATGTATTGTTTCTCTGTTTAAAAGGGCAAAGTAATTTGTCAGGCGTGTGGCACAGGAAATCCTCTTCACCACAAACACTGTGTGACTTGTGAAAGCAAACTGCCTGAAATACCGATGGTAAGGCTTCTCGCAGCAATCACAGTACAGTTCATCAAATCAAAGCATAACATTCTTTTTCTTTGGAAAGCTGAAGTCATCTCCCTGCGTGCCTATGTTCTAAAAGCAGAGGTTCCCTCCCCCGTGCCAGATTCAAGCCCAGTACTCCCACAGCTGCTCCATCACAAATGTCCAGCTAAACACAGGTGTGTCGTATACCTTCAAGTTTCTCCTGTGGAAGTCCGGGTTGCCAGTGCCACTGTGAAAGCTCAGAAGGCTCGTAGAAAACAGGTAGTCTTGACTCCAAGGGAGTCTTGTTTATGTTCAGATTATTTTCAATTGCAATAGAAAACTCGAGTATATTCATCAGGAAGACAATTCTCATTGATTTCAATTATTTTGTGACAATAAGATATTCTTTTACGTTATTTCTATCCCCATTTGCTGCTTCCCCTATGTGCATACAGCTACTATGTTTGTATTTGGCTGTGACTCTCACAGAGGTGAGAAAAGCAACAGTCAATGTCCCCCCCTAAAATTGCTATTTCAACTCCCCATTTAGCTGTCTCATTTGGTTCCTTAGATGAATTTTACTTTCATTTCTGAAGAGAAAATTCTTATATGAAAACCTTTTGGTACATTTCAATTCTCCAGGTTGTGATAAATAGAGAAATGAGAGAAGAATAATGATTTGCAAGCTAAAACCTTCTGATTGTAATGGCAACATCCCGAGTTCTGAAACTGTCAGCAGCTAGAGGCAAAGGAGTCTTGTACAGCCACGGAGGTGTCATTTCAAAGTGAATTTCAGTAGGAATCTGGACTTACCTAGGATAAACATATGTTTATGTGCTTCACTGAATGCAGATATTAATATGTAGCTACATATGTAGTTAGGCATATGACTTGAATGGTGAGACCTGTAGTAGCTAAGAGAGAAAGTTGAATGCTTACTAAGAATTATTAGTAGTAATCAGAAATTTTACTAATTAGAATGATTAATTTGTGATAACAAATAGTAATTCCTGAATAATTAATAAGTAGTAATAATTCTGATATTGCTATTAATGGCTATTAAATAATTTCGAACCTATTTAGACTTGCGCTCTTGTTGATATCTTCTTCCAAACGAACCCCCAGATGACATTGTTCAAATTGCAATGCAGGCCACAGATGGAAATAGGGCTGTTTCATGTTTGCTTACTTGCTGTTGTGGTGTCTGTAATCAAAATAATTTTCCTTGAGTTCTGTTCCTTGTCCATATTCCTGACTTGCAAAGAAAATAAATTGCATGAGGCCTGAGGCAAAACCTAACAAAACATGTAAAGACCTATTTTTCCTAACTAGTATGTATAGTCAACCTCTAGAAGTTTCAGGTGAAAAATCTGTTTTCTTTTGCATACCCATGTCATTTAATTGTAGTAGGAAAGCTAGGTAATGTATAACCTGCATCAGGTAAAAGAATGCAAAAAAAAATATTTACATAGCAAATACCAAACTGAGAGAAAACTCATTGTCTGAACACACTCTCCCTGCCGTACTACTACAGATAAAGGTACAAAGAAATAGCTGTTGTGTTTTGGATTTGAAAATATAAATTAGTCAGCAGAGAAACCTCCCTCTTAACTTTGTACTTATATGTGGGGCCGTATTAATAAATACTCAGTGTAAAAGATTGATAAGGAATTTTTTTGTTGTTGTTCTGTAAAAATTAATTAATGCCACATTTTACTGTGGTTTTGTAATGAAAAAAATTTACAAGTTAAATCCAAGTCAGTCTGTTGCTTATTCTAAGTGGAAATAATTCTTTGAGGCTAAATGTTACTTTACGTTATCAAAGTAGCCTGCTTTCCTCTTTCCCCTTATTTGGCTTGTGAACTTTTCTTCATCAGAAATATTTTCTCCCTAATGCTTGTTTTGTTTTATTAGCGCCTGTTTGGAGGAGACACCCCCCTGCTTTACCACAGCCAGGAAAGGAATACAGTTTTGTGCTCCAAATGCAATCATGTTAACCAATGTGATGCCCGTTTCTGTGACTGGTGTGGAGCCAAGGCACGTGTTCCCGGCGTTTGTGTTGACAAATCTGTTTTTACTCATCTATGACCTGCAATTTCAAACTTCTCTTTGCAAAACTCTTGTTAGTTAGTACACAGCCTATTATTATCAAAATACTTGCTTAGAGCTCCTAGGATTGTGTAAAGAAAAATGAAGGGCTTAGGTGACATCCTGACCCCCCATCAGTCAGTGACTTCAGGGTTTAGAGATGTTCAACAAATTACCATAAGTTAACGATCATCAGCTTATTGCATCAGTTGGCATGCAACGGCCGTGTACTCTGCCAAAGCAACTTATACATGAAAGGTTAAAGTACAGGCTAACCTAGCGCAAGTTTTCCCATATCTGCTCTGGGCTGTGATGACCTGTACAGGCAATTGCTGGAGAGAAGATGATGCATGAAATTTTTTTGGCTGAAGGCCTCATTAACTTCAGTAAAGATGCCTACTTAACTGCTGCTCAGTAGAGCTTCTGCATGGTACACAATTTCCCTCGGCATCTATTTTTATATGTTTCAATCTAAGATCACACTCAAGGAGAATACTTTTTTTGTTGTTGTTCTGTGAGCTGAGTCTGCATAAAATTTGGAACACTCCCCTCCATGCATACATAAACATTGGTCCTGTACTGTACCAGGGGACTTGGGGGGTGGTGGTGATAGAATTGAACTGGAAATAACTGTGGTCAATATTCAGTATCAGAGCACCAGACTAGTAATTACAGGGCTTTGCCAAAGAAAAGAAGTATTTCTGAAAGTATATGTTAAAAACAATAACCTACCATCGTGCTAGATCTGTCTGAAAAAATGTTTGCCTTTATAGCACGGTGCTGAGATACCTGAATGTTTATGGTCTTGCATCTGCCAGTGTGCTAACAGTCTGGTGTCCTGGTTAGTATTTCTCATCTACTAGCTTTAGGTAGTGCTACTTTACTTCCTTTCGGTTCATTTTCTGAACCATGCACCAAATGTTTCTGTAGTGACAAATGTTTCATTGAACTTTCCAGCCTGGACCTCCTCCGTCCTACTTCAGTTGTTTCAAGTGTGGTACAAGCAACCGTCCATACGCTCGTTTCTGTGGATCCTGCGGTGCTTACATCGAGCCCCCATCAAGGGTGGGTTCTCGGAGCGGCAGTCCCATGGATGCTGGGGGCTTGCTGGGGTTTGCTGAGGTAAGACACACAGTATGACAACTAAAAGGCAAGTCCACTGCAGGTATAGATCAGAACAACTCCATTCATTTCCTTGTTGGGACAATGTTGTGGTCTGTGAGCATGTTGAGGGCAGAACCGAAGACGTGTTCATTCTGAGAGCTGCTTTCTGATGAAAAGTGACTTTATCAAAGGCCTTAATCCAGCCGTATTCTAAACAGCAAAGTGAGAAACAGTGAGCTTTTCAAAAGTCTTTGCTCTTTAAGTACTTTTATCTTATCACTTGTGAATTATTTGTGCCCTGCTAACACAAGGTATTCTTTCGTGCATATGTAACAGCATTTTTAAAACCCTTTAAGAAAGGTTTTAAGAAAGACCATAGTACTTAGCAAGGACAGCTTTTGTCCTACAAAACCACACACACCATTCTGCTGACAATCAGAAAGAGTTTTGCTTTATCTGGAGTATTTGTGATGAGTTGCATCATTGTTACAGACTGGTAATGAAGATCAAGAATTGTTAATGATCCTTCCTACTAGCTTCTTCATTCCTTTACAATTTTGTGTACTGTCAGAGTTAATTTCTGCTTGTAAGCCATTTCATTATATCTAATTATATTACTTACACTTTTCCTTCCCCTCCACAGGCTAAATGGTTTCAAGCTCCAGTTGCCTGGCAGCCCAAATCAAGGGCAGAACTGAAAGAAAGAGAAGATAAAGGAACCCAAACCATTGGCCTTTTTTATCCCTCTAGCAAACTGTTGGAAAAGAAGGAGCTTGAGCTGATTTCACGAAAAGAAAAGCTGGAAAAGATGAGTGACCGTAAGCCTCTCCTGACAGCCATTAGTCCTGGAAAAGGTTAGTTTTGATTTTATGATTTCTAGACAAAGCTGCAACGTATGACCTTGGTTTTTCTTGAAAGGATTATAGTCCATGCAATGTGCCCTCAGTAGGACACTGATTTACATCGTTACAAGTCTGTCTTCCCACCAGTCACTTGTAAATGCACTGCCTTAGAATCTGTCACTGATCTCCATCAGCAGCTAAAAGAAAGCCTATCAGCAATATAAAAATTATGGTTACTGACCCCTGTGCAGCCTTACTAATTTGCTAGTAGCTTGATTTCCTCAGATCCTACAAGGTCAGGGCAGGTGTCCTATATTTGAATTGGAAACCGCTGGATAACCATTACCCCACCTCCCAGCACCCTCCTCACCCCCAGTTAGAACTGTGACAGCACCTGCTGGGAGGATTGTTAAACAGAACTCTGAGGCACAGGGGATCACAGCTCTTGCTGGTGCCAAAAATCCTTTTAAATGTAATAAAATGTCAAACACGCAAGAATGTGTTCCCAGACATCTGGATATCTGGGTATCTAGGCTACTTATGAACCAGTTTATTGCAAATAATACTGACTGACTTCTCTGGAGGGATCACTCACCAGGTAGTAGTCTGTCTCGGATTTTTTAATGACTATTTTCAATTTGTATTAGTTTTTGCATGTGAGACCATGGCAGGCAACAATTTATGTTGCTTTGTGGTTCCTTCTTTTTATATTCCTTTAAACCTGCCTTACAAATAAGGCTTGCTGTTTTAGTTTAGCTTCTACCAGTTTGATCTTAAAAGAGTCCTCCCAGCACAAAAATCCTTGTGCATTTGCCTTTTCTTGTAAAAGTCAGAGCAGCACTTTTCTTCCGACATGGCTTCTTTTCACTGTTTTGAGGGTCACTCAACAAGAAGGGAAGGGTAAGGTCAGAGCAACTTCCTTGTGTAAGTTAAACAAGGTTACCAAGCCTACACAATTTATTTACAACAAAATAAATCATACCCTGTACTTTCATAAGCATGCTTAAAAAAAATTAGCCAGAGCCTGATAACAATCACTTAAGAATGAGAACGAGTACTTTTATTTCTTTCTCTGATGAGAACAGAACATTGCTTTGGAAATACTTGGATAGGAGCTGCAAAAACTCTAAATGGCTTAAGATGAGTTTTGAATTCAGCCCCTCATGTTTCATGCCCTATACCAGCAAAAAGGAACGCTGACTCTCTCCCAGAAATCCTGACAGGTGAAAGAGCTAGAATGCTTAAGCTTTTAATATGCTCTCCCATATACAATTGGAAGGTGTGTATTTGGGGAAAGATTTTCACAGACCAGAATGCTGTATAGGATGAGTTACTATGTCTGCAGTTTTCAGATCTGGCCTATTGCTACCTGTCAGTGATCACAAATCAACCAATAATCAGTTCAATTATACAAAATTGCTTAGTTGTAATATTGTATTTTTTTTTTAATGATCTGGAATAGTGTGAGATTCTCCCTCACATGGGGCCAGTTTTGATTCCAAAGGACAATTCCAAGACATGGTTTTGTTGTGAATAGAGGTGCCCTAAGAATGAATTATAACCTATGGATAAGAAGGTATTTTGTCTTTTTTTAAGGTATAACTTGCTTCTCCTTTTCTTGATCAGATGAATTTTCTAAAGAAAAATTCAATTTTTTTTTTGTCTCAGTGAAAATATACTGTCTTTTAAATCATCCATCACATGAGTAGAAGAAATATTAATCACCATTTCAGGGATTTTTCTCCTGCTTAACTCTCTCTGATCAGGTTACTGGAGAAAACAGCTGGATCATGTCTGTGCTCACCTTAGAAGCTACGCTCAGAATAACCTTGGATTCAGAGCACTGATTGGAGAACCTCGAATGGGAAAGGTAGGAAGGAGCTTGTGAGTAATATCTTCCTATACAGCCTCATGAAGAGATTACTGTGGCTGAGAGATAAATACTGGAAAAATAAATGTCTGACTTTTCATTATACCTTGACCTCTTTGAGTGTGTAATTTGTTTTGTTTTCTCATTTCAGTTTTTGCTTGGTCGTTTACTGGAGATTTTTTTTCTGCTTTCTTTCCTATGGCAGTTTCTATTCTTCTGTCACCTCGCAGCTATAAGAGAAGGGATAGAAGCGAGAAAGCACTTGCTCAGCTGCTTTTATAGTATCCCACAGCAGGCAATCAAGAAAAAGAAGAGATCACTGACATCTATGTAGCTGGTCAGTTAAATAAGCCCTGCTAGAAATGGGACGTAATGATACGCTTGCCTCTGCTCCAGGTTGAATCACACCAGCAGATAGCAGCAATTCTCTTTGGCTATAAAATCTACTTCTCGTGTAAACTATACCAGTACTATAGGAACAGGGTACTGCTTTTCATACTGCAGATGTAGTCTTCAGGATGTCACCAAACTGCATTAAAAATTATTCAAGAAGATGGAAACTGGAGGTTCTTCCTAGCAGATAGGGCTGGTATGACTGAGAGATCATTTGCTCCCTGTCCTGAGGGAGGATCAGCTCTGTCTAAACTGTTCCTGACAGATGTTTGTCTTGAAGCTTTTCAAACTCACCAACAATGGAGATTTCACAATTGCCCCAGGCAGTCCCTTTCTGTGCTCAATTATCCTTTCCAGTTCAGCTGCAGTACTGGATTGCTTTCTTTGGCAGCCCTGCTGGGCTAAGGAGCTGCATCCCCTCACACTGCTTCCTGGGTGCTGCCAGCACAACCGCTCGTGGCCACGTCCTGTGGACTGGATCCATGACTGACCCAGCTAAAAATAGCTCTGGAGGGGAAAAAAAGGACATCAGCACTAGCACAAAAGTAGCCCAGCAGTGAGCAGCTGGAAATCGGATGCAGGCAGGAGTAGGGTTGGGAACTCTTGAGCTGGAATAGCTCCCTGGGAAGCTTTTTCCCAGTGTCTGACCCAAGTCTCCCTTGTTACAGTTCAAGCTCTCTGTTCTTAGCCTCTCCTGACTGATCCAACATACCAGTCAAAACCCCCCCAATTTTTAGTACATAGAAACAACTACAGAAAAGTTCATGAATGCTGGGGCTCAGAGATCTGATTGTCATTTGGCATCTGAATTCTATACCCACTGAGACCTACTGGGTCCATCAACATGTTCAGAAGCCACAGTACAAGTATAAAGATAAAAGATATCTGCTTGGTGGAGATGAAGTATAGTTCCACTGCAGCTTGTTTCCTTTGCTAGAGGATTCCAAAGGATATGCCTGAAAGATATTGAATTGCCTAGAGAAGGCTATTCCTTTTTTGGCCTTTTGTCATCCCATTGTCCTGAAACCACTGCCCCTAAAAGTAACAGAAGTGATTCAAAGTAGATGCTAACTATCTGGGTTTAACACTGCTTTTTCAGTTTTCCTGCGGACTAGCAATATAATTAACCTCCTCTCAAAATTCTCTAACCTGCTGCAATATAACCTTACCAGCTTCATTCCCCTTCTTTTTAATTGCCTGAGCACTTATTTATGTATAGCTGTACTGTCTCAACGAATTGATAGAGAAAGTTGCCCACGTTTTACTGCAGACTCTGCTTTTCCAGAGTGGTACAACTAAAGTAGCAACCTGTTTTCCTGGAGCAGGCAGTCCTAAGGACAACATCGCCTTTCATGCAGCTGCAAAATCTGGATAGAGAATTAACTTTTGTTAAACAAAGCGTTATTACATCTTTTGGGATTCATTTGGCGTTTCACTCATTCTGATATTTCCAGTTACTCAAAATACCACCTGCCCCTTGCAGAGGGAAATGCTGGTGCAATGTCACAAGCAGGCAAAGGTCACACGTGTGATGTTGTGTATTGGCTCCTCAATAAGCACCAGCAGCAAGACTTATTCCTAAAACTATTTCTGCGTGTTTTTTGTAAGAGATTATTCCCTCTAGATTAATTCTGCTGCCATCCATGAGGATGACTGTGAAGTCACGATTACACTGAATTACGCTCTCGCTGTGAACAAGGTCAGTGTGGGGGACAAGCCCTGTTGTTAGGCAGCTGGTCTAAAGCTGTCTCTATACCAGTCAGTGTAATGCTGATATATTTTAAATTCAGGTCTAAACAAGAAATTATTTTGTTCAGAGGGTGTTAACTCATCACTTCAGAGAAAGGAATCTTTCTTTTTCAGTTGGAGGTGGCTGAGCAGGTACCTTTATGTGATTAAGCCGGACTTCATGGTTATGTTGCTCTCATCTTGCATTTCACTAGTTTGCTGTTAATATTAACCTTCTTCTTTCAGCTGATGTTGTTTGATCATTCTAGCACCCCTTAGCTCTTGATCTTAGAGCTTCCTTTTTTTCAGCTTGCATATTGTCGTCTTAAGAAACCAGCTTAGTCCTTTTCAATAGTTTGGAGATAACATTTGCTAGAGCTCCAGTTAACCGCATTCACACACTCAAAATCCCCACCTCCAGAATTACCATGTTCCAAAAGCCACCCATGTATTCATTTCCGGCTTTTCAAAGGTGAAAATCTACCATTTCAAGGATCCAAAATTCAGACTATTTCTTGTGTAGAATCTTTAAAAGCTTGGTGCCTGAAAAGGTGCATCATGTCATTTCACAAGTGAAGAGTTGACCAGATCTCTCAAGTGGTAGATGCACTTTCATTTGGATGAGAACCTTCATTTCATTAAGTGAGGTTATGTCACTTTCTCCTTTTTTTAAATCAAAACAAATACCTAACACAAGGTTTAGAAAAAACTGTTAGAGTTCAGTTACATATAATAATTTGTTTTGTGCTAATTTGGGACTGATATTAAAAGCTTATATATTTTTTCATACACAACACCACTGTTTTGTGCCACTAAGATTATAACAGTATTGCATGATAATCTGGTTAACTGCTTGCATTTGATGATTCTACAGGACATCCATACTAATAAACCAGTGAAGTTCAGCAGTCATTACCCGAATACTGTAACAGAAGTCAGAGATGGACAGGATGGCAGTCAGACTAGTCTTGGTGAGATATATATATATATATATGTATTTTTTTTTTTTTTCCTCCCTGTCTTTCTGGTAGACTATAAATATAGTAGTCAAGAATATGGAAGTAGTGCTTGGAAGGTTAGACACTGAGATAGGCAAACAAATATATTGGCACATTCTGTACCTCCTTAAGTTGATCTTTAAGTCTAAAAATGTGTCCGAGTTGAGATTTAAGCAAAGTACAGACTCTGTGAAAAGCTCATGGGAATACTTCACCCCTAGAGGACAGCTGGAGCAGCCAGTAAACTGCGGCCGCAGCTCATAGCAGTGACTTTATTGGAGTGATAAACCTCTACATGCTTTGCATATTATTTTACAAGCAGAGCTATAAATGTCAGTATTATCTCTACATTTGAGCTGTGCCAGGGACTTCAGCTTTAGTACATCTGGCAAAGAAATTATGAAATACATTCATTTTAGACCTGGTTTTCAGAGGTGCTTAACTTGCATCTCCCGTTGGTGTCACTAACAGCTCAGCATTTTAGGCATCTCGTATTGGACTTACATTTTCATTAAATCAACTAGTTGTAAAGTCAGCATTAGAATTCAGAAATTCCTGCAGAATAATTTGACATACTTCAATTCACATATAAGTTTCAGCCAGTTTGTGCTTCTCATCTGAGACTTGGCAAGAGACAACCATGGCGCTAGGAGCTGGTTTTCTGGAGCATCAGTAACGTGACTGTCATTCCAGGTACTCTAGTAGCACCAGTTCAAAGAGTCCTCATGTGCTGCGTAATTTCCTCATCAACCCTCCTGCACACTGGCACATTGCGTCTCTTAAAAATAACGGATGTGTGTATCTACTCAAGGGCCTCTAGTCTTCTTCTTAAGTATTTGGAAGCTAAACAGCACTGAAAAAGTGTAAGGTTTTTGGTCAGAACAATTAACGAATCCAAGTCAAGCCTGTTGAATAGCTGCAGCTAGTTAAAAAAAAAAAAAAGACTCAAACCCCCCAAACCCCACATTTCATTGAATCTTCATTTCAAAATAGCAAGTTTTAAAGTCTGCCTGAGTGTAAGCCTTTTGTTAAAACTAGTCTGATCTGCAACAGATATTTCATCACTTTCTCTTGTAGAAAACTGATAAATATTGCTTTCATTTCAACACAAAATAAAATCTTTTTGTGGATAAATTATTTCCAGATCTCTCCCCCAAGTTCTTGTTGGGATATTGACTTTGCTTTGAATTAACACTTGTTTCCCTTTCTTGTAGGCAGAGATGATAATAACCTTTTCCATTCAAGAGGCAAAATAAAGAGAACAAAGTCAAGAACACTTACAGAAAAAGAGGATCAGCTCCCCGTACGTATCTTCTGCCAGTACAGGGAGAACTGCCTGTAGAGCAGCACTAAGGTGAAGGAGGGCATCAAGGGTAAAACCAGAAAGCTTTCAACACTGACTGGAGTTGGGGGGGGGGACAGGAATGGGGACAAAAGTCCAACTTAAAGCCTGAAGGTTCGTAGCTGACATTTGTTACAGAACTGGAAATAACCAAACTTAGTTCCTACTAAGAGCTTAATTAGATTGTTGACCTCACTTTTGGTCCCATTCTGTTTTACTGACGCAGCATTAGGTCTGCACTAGGCTTTCAAAAGGGTAGAGGAAGGAGGTAAAAAGGTTGTAAGAAATAAAAGGAGAAGGTTTTTAAGTTGGTTTGGGTTTGGGGTTTTTTTTGTTTGTTTCAAGATTTAGTTACCAAACTTCTGCGGGGCAAAACATATTAGTTTTCTAAGTAAAATACTTCCACAAGTTCTGGAAGCATCAAACCTGAATTCTATGGCAAAGAACTTGTGCCTGTGTTTACTGTGATGAACAGATTGTTGGAGAGAGCTGCACTGATGTAAATCTATCCACTTGCAGACACATTTGCTGAATCAAGACCTAAGTAGTGAGATATTCACCTGGGTTATCCAACACTTGCTCAGATTCAGAAAGAAATTCCCACGGAAGGGTCATGAGTTACTAATGCTGAAGCTCAGCTATATCACATTCTTCCCTCAGCAACATTCCTGGCACTGTGTGCATTTTTCACCTTTACTCAAAGGCAGAATATGGCCCACCTACTCGTATTTTCACTGTGTGAAGTGTTACTGGCTGTTTTCTGTGTTTCCACAGACAGAGTCCAGACAACTACTGGACGAATTGGGTCCACATGGGAAAGGAAGAATTGCCTCGGTAGAACAATTGCTCAGTGAAGTAAGTTATTGCTTGCTGAAGTTTTCCTTTCCAACTCTTTGACCATTATTATGAATTTTAGCCTGGTAAGCAACTTCAACTTCATGCTTAGGAGGCAATGTCCTTGCAACACAACTGTCTTCAGATTGAAAGAGCACTTTGGAGAAGAAACGGACTGTTTTGAGGTTATATATGTTCTCTGCAAGTTTCTACTTGGCTGGTTTAAGGCATTCTCATCTGGGTTTGTCAAGGCCATATAGAAAGAAAAATATATTAATTTCATAGTTTTGGGTCAAGTCCTCTGTGTAGTGAAAGCAAGCATAACCTCTGCCTTTTTGCTGTGTAGTTAGGTGCATCCTGACTGTGAAATCTAGCTTGACTGCCCTTGTTATACACATTTACTCTGGTTTTGAGCTAGGACAAACATTTTTAGAAGAAACATGAATAATCAATACCACAATTTGAATATTTATCTGTCTTAAGCACAAAGACCACCTGCCAACTTAAATTGTCATAATATTGAAGCAAGGTGGAAGCTGAAGAATCTCTACAGCTTTAACAGTTTATCTTCCATCTCCTGTGCATTCTAGGGAGCTGACCCAAACTCCATCAGTGATGAGGACCGACCTGCTCTCACAGTTGCTGTCCTCAACAAGCACGTGGAAGCAATCTCCCTTCTCGTGCAGAAAGGTGCTGACATTGACCAGCAGTCAGGACTGTAAGCGAGCACTGATTCTCTGCCTCGGGTCCTCTGATGTTTTACCAAAAAAGCACTCGTGCTCTGATTTCAGAGAGGATTAACCTCCCACTCCTCCTCCAAAAATCTGTAGTTGAGGACCTACTTTCAAAGCCAAATTTAAAACAAAACTGCAAATGAGCAAAGATAATAGTAATCACAGTCCTCCTTTCAGTTACCAGCTTTGAAGATTGCTCATAATTTCTATTTGAAAAGATGCTGTTCTATTAAATTGCTTCCCCCATCCACTTCAACTTAATACAATAAACCACACTAAAGCCTACCCCCCCCCCCCAAAAAAAAAAAAATAATCACCATGACTCCTAGTGTATTCCATATCCTCCTATTCCTTTTTGCTTAGTTTAATTTGCTAGACCACTTCTCCGTGTACCAGGACAGCCTCCTTCGGTGAGAAGTACATTGCTCATTCCTCCTGTGCAGGGACAACACTGCTCTCCATGAGGCAGTTCTGCTTGGACTGGAGGGAGAGGAGTGTGTCCAAGTCCTGTTGCGGTAAGTGCTGTAGCGGGGCCTCCAGCTCAGCTGCAGGCTACCCACAGTCTGCATGCACAGACGTAGCCGGCATACTGAAGGGCCAGAGCCTGCCCAAGGCTCAGCGCTCTCATCTCACAGCTGAGACAGACATCCAGAAATTCTGAAGTTACTCTGCACCAGCATTACCTACAAGCCACTTTATTAATTCCAATAACTCAGAAATAACATAAGAGGCTTAAAACAATCTGTTCTTTATTTACAGCTGCAATGTAAGCATTAAAAAGAAGAATGCAAAAGAGCAATCAGCATATGATTTGGCTGTGACAGCTGGAAATAATGAAGTCATTTCATTGTTCGCAAGTAAGCTTGGACAGTGAACATTGGACAAACTCACGAAACCCAGGAACTTCGGTCTCATCAATGTGTGATTGCAACTGCCTTTTCCCCAAGATGGAGCTGGAGGTTCCTTGAGTTTGGGAGCACCTTAGTGCATGTGGCCAGAACCCTATATGATCAACTCTGGCCCTGGAACAGCCAAATATTTTGTACAAGATTTCCCCCATTCCTTCCCAGAAGTTCAGAGCAAAATTCCTCACCAACTGCGTTCTGTTCTTCAAGATTTCTTTTCCTTTCCAAACTTGTGCAAGGAGAGGGACCAACCAAACCTTCCAAGGCACAAGGACATTTTAAGGAGACCTGAGACTTCTTAAGACAGTTGGACACTTGAGCACTGGCACCGTGAGCTGTATTTTGATTAGCTTATTTTCCATTTTGAAGTTAAAACTGCATTCAGTGTAGCTCATTGCATTAGAGGTCAGATTCTTTTCCCCCAGAAAACTGAGTAAAATCACTTTGCTGTTTTGCCTTCAACTTCTTTTTATAAATGCATCAACAGGCAGCAGCCAACTACAAATAGAAGTTTATAAGGACAGGAGGCACACTAACATTTGGTATAATTAGACATTAATAGCCAAAATCCTAAATCCCTGAAGGAGTTGTTTTAAAACTCCTTCCCCTTTTTGTTTCCAAAAGTATCCAAAAACATTGGTATATTCAGTATAAAATGGAAGTGCCTGCCAGCCCTTGCAAGAAACACAAGTTTTTGCACCAGAGCTACCAGCATCTCCAAAATGGAAAGAGCTGGGTTTAAAACAAACAAACAAACAAAACACCCACAAAAAACAACAACAAATAAACCCACACGTAGTATCCTTAATTAAGCCAACAGGAAGAACAGGAGATTCCCTGCAGAAAAGATTATGTATGCAATGCATCAAAGCCCGGGTACTTCCCAAACAGACTGAGGTGAGTGAAGTAGAATTTACTCTGCTTCTCCCAGAGATGGCCACGCTGAACGCAGTCTCAGGAAACACAGCCACTCAGTCAGAGTGGTGGTGCCAGCACACACATCCCAGACAGATGTCACTGGCAGCGGTGGAGCTACGGCACCCTAGGAGACCAGATTCTCTATATCACGACGCACGCGCTTGGCTGCATCTTCAACCTCAGTTGCCTTCTGAGAAATTTCTTTTTGCTGCAAAGAATAAAAACATAACAGATTACTGACTAAACTGAGCATTGTTCAGCTTCCAAGGGAAAGCGAGCTACACTTCCCGTGACGCAAAGGTAGAGAAGCGGGAAAGGACATGCCATCCGACCCAGCATGGCTTGGGAAGCAACAAACCGCGGTGCCGGTGTGTACGCACAATTGCATTTTTCATTCGTTCTTTGTCCAGCTTCAGGAACTCCTGTAGTGTCAAGTCAGTAAGATCATTCTGAAGGGACAGAAAAGCACAGCCTGCAGAGTGTTTTTTGTGCTCCTCCCTGCGAAGAGGGGAAAAATTAA